AATATATACATACACTTCTACATAAATTATTAAAGGCTATATTAAAGCTTATAAACTGACGGCTTTAGAAGTATCTAATCCCGTAATAAAAAATGAATTTTCAATTTTCAGAAAGATGTATTTTTTTTTTAAAGAGAAAATTGTCAACAATATCTTTTACTTCCTTCATTACAAGTTCGACTGTGAAAGAAACTTCCTTCCATTCATTTTTACTATTTATAAAGGTCCATTTGAAACAACTCAATGTTCTAAAGTTCATTATCCATTCTTCGATATATTCATAACAAATTTTATAAAAGTTTTTAACTTCTTTTAACCTTTTGAAGACCGTACGGATTAAAAAAATAGTTTTAGTAAAAGTAATGCATTTCTAACATTACAATGATTTTAATTATTAAACTAAAGAAAAAAAATTGTTCCATTACCATTACAAGTGAATATATGATGGGAGAAATATGTCTCTATGGTCCTTAAGTAAACAATGGGTCAAAGTTGTCCCTTATGGCAGTGACATATAACAAGTGAGTTTTATTTCATTATTTTTACCCTTTGAAAACAAAGAGACATATTTTTCCCATTAATTATATTAAGCAATACATCTAACCATTTTATCATAACCTTTTCAAATTTAATTGCATTGTATTAATAAAAGCTTGCTTTTTAAAATAGTAATGTTTTTTGACCACTTTTCAAGTTTTACAGTAAATAAAACAACTTGCAACCATGCATTGAAAAAAAAAAAAATTTTTAGGCGCCTCATAGATCGCGTTGCTTCGATATAGATATTTATTAGATTTTTTATATTTTTTGCTAATGTGAGTGTTATTATTAAGTTTTACTAATTATTATAATTTTTGTTTACAAATTCTTAATTTAGTGACCATATTTGCAAACGAGACTCATTTGTCCCTATGGTCAACAAATAAAATTTTGTTACATATAAGGTTGCTATATTTTTTTTAGTTCTTATATAAAAAAAAATGTTAAACAATGTCTGGTTGCGAACGATTAATTAAAATAAATGAAACAGATATACAGCAACTGTTATTTGCTAACAACAGTGATGATGATGACGAGAAATTGCTTCTTGATCATGAAGATGAAAGTTTCTTACTAAAAGATGTTGACTTTGTTGCATAGAAAGTTATTATAGAGCAACAAGATCTTTCCTATGAATCTAGTAACACAACAACAACTAATAATTTAGTCAAACTTGTGACAACCTGTAAATCAAATCATAAATGTACCACCATTATTCCATAAGAATCAACACAATTAAAGTTAAAAACCCTAAACGATTAACAAAAGCAATATACATTCTGAGGTCTGATGACAATCCAGTACCAAAACCGTCAGGGTTAACCCTAACCCTAATCCAGAACCTACAACCACCAATAAAATCAGTCTAAAGCATTTGTTTTATCAGTACATCCTGATGTCATTTTCAAGTGGAAAAGGCAGACATCAAAAACCAGACCTGAGACACTTGATATAATTATGGACAAGTTAATTTTTTTTTTGAAAAATCGACAGATATTGATGCTTTTTCTGGTTTTAAAAAAGTGACTGAATTAGATACCTTAGTTTTGAACAGAGCAAGTTATATATGATGCATAAAGCCATTTCAGACTGAAAAAGCGGAAATGCGTGCTTTCTTTGTAGTTTGTCTTATTATTGGCTACCATGTATTACCCTCTATCAGAGATTATTAGTCTAGTTAGCCAGATCTTCAGGTCCCATTTGTATTAAATACAATGCCTCGAGTACGATTTAAGACAATTCGTTCAGCATTGCATTTTGCAAATAATGATGAAATGTTACTAAGAAGTCATTCACAGTGTTATCGGCTTTCAAAGTCCGCCTGTCGATCAATCACTATAATATTTGTTACAAATCTGCCAGAAATGCAATCAAGCAGCAGTCAATAGATGAACACATGATACAATTTAAATGACAAAACATAATAAAAAAGCACATAACAATTAAACCCATACTTATTTTGAGTTAACCTTTTAAGAGCAGTAAGACTTACAAAAATAGTTTTAGTAAAAGTAATGCATTTCTAACATTACAATGAGTTTAATTAACTAACTAAAGGAAAACAATTTTTCCATTACCATTACAAGTGGAATTATAAGATGTACCTCAAATGAACAATGGCTCACATTTGTCCCATATGGCAGTCATATAGAACAAGTGCGTTTTTTTTCATTATTTTAACTCAAAATATGTATAATAATAACAATAGTTAGACATGGAACTCGTAACCTTTTCTGCGCATCCTGCATTCCTCCTAAAAACAACCGATTCATCATCTTTTGAACATAGTATAAATTAAACAACAGAATTACTGATCTGTTATCCATCCATTTGACACAAGTAATCCCATTAGCTGTCATAGCATCCATGTTTCCTCGCTTCATTTCCTTGTCTGATTTAAAGTTATTTGGCATATACTTTTTGTCAATACGAACAGTGCCACATAAATAAATTTCTTTTTGTAGCATTTGAACTTTGTAATAGTGGCGAGTTAAAAAAGTTATCAATAAAAACATGACAACACAACTCTTCGATTTTTTTTGACAAAATGACAACAACACTCTCAAAAATGCTATATTGTGCTTAGTTTGCGTCATGTATAAAGATCAAACTGATAAAGGTAGCTTGTTACAGCATCACATCTGCACCACAACTTAAATCCCCACTGAATGGGTTTAATTCTTATGTGTTTTTTCATGATGTTTTGTCATTTAAATTTTATCATGTGTTCATCTATTGACTGCTGCTTGCTTGCATTTCTGGCAGATTCGTAACAAATATTATAGTGATTGATCGACAGGCGGACTTTGAAAGCCGATAACACTGTGAATGACCTCTTGGTAACATTTCATCATTATTTGCAAAATGCAATGCTGAACGAATTGTCTTAAATCGTATTCGAGGCATTGTATTTAATACAAATGGGACCTGAAGATCTGGCTGACTAGACCAATAATCTTCGATATAGGGTAATACATGGTAGCCCATAAAAAGACGAATTCCAAAGAAAGCACACATTTTTGATTTATCATTCTGAAATGGAATGCCTTTTTGCATCATATATAGCTTACTCTATAATTAGCAAAACTAAGGTATCTAATTCAGTCACTTTTTTAAAACCAGAAAAAGCATCAATATCTGTCGATTCTTCAAAATTAAAAGTTACTTGTCCATAATTATATCAAGTGTCTCAGGTCTGGTTTTTGATGTCTGCCTTTTTTCACTTAAAATCGACATCAGGGTGTACTGATAAACCGACTGCTTTAGACTTTGATTTCATTGGTGGTTGTAGGTTTTCTTTTGTTTTTGGTTTTTGGATTGTCATCAAACCTCGGAGTGCATATTGCTTTTGTTAATCGTTTGGGGTGAGTTTTTAACTTTAATTGTGTTGATTCTTATGGAATAATGGTGGTACATTTATGATTTGATTTACAGGTTGTCACAAGTTTGACTAAATTATTAGTTGTTGTTGTGTTACCAGATTCGTAGGAAAGATCTTGTCGCTCTATAATAACTTTCTGTGCAACAAAGTCAACATCTTTTAGTAAGAAACTTTCATCTTCATGATCAAGAAGCAATTTCTCGTCATCATCATCACTGTTGTTAGCAAATAACAGTTGCTGTATATCTGTTTCATTTATTTTAACTAATCGTTCTCAACCAGACATTGTTTAACAGTTTCTTTACATAAGAACTGAAAAAAACTTAACAACCTTATATGTAACAAAATTTTATTTGTTGACCATAGGGACAAATGATATATCGATGCAACGCGAACTATGGGGCGCCAAAAAATTTATTTTTTTCAATGCATGGTCGCAAGTTGATTTATTTACTCTAAAACTTGAAAAGTAGTCAAAAAACATTATTATTTTAAAAAACATGCTGTTATTAATACAAGGCAATTAAATTTGAAAATGATAAAATGGTTAATGGGACAAATATGTCTCTTGGTTTTCAAAGGGTTAAAATAATGAACTAAAACGCACTTGTTATATCCCAGCGGGCACGGGTACGTTCATTGTACGTACAAAAGACGTCCGGACGGAACGTACAATTTTAGTCCAGAATTGGTTCAGGATGGAAATACTGATGTACGTCCGATTTTTAACGTACAATGTACGTCCAAATTTGAACGTACAATGTACGTTTAAATACAAACGTACAATTTCGGTTCAGATTTGGTTCAGGATGGAAATACTGATGTACGTCCAAATTTGAACTTACAATGTACGTCCAAATTTGGACGTACACTTTATGTCCAATTTAGACTTAAGAATTTAAATTAGAAATTGAATGTATAACTTATACTTAGAAATACCTAATTACAAGCCTATTCTGAACCAAAACTTGTTCAGAAATGTATTTTTAAACTTTCCTTTTCTAAATACATAGACACTATAAAAAATACTTAAAAATTACTTTAAAATACTTAGATTTAGTTTAAAATAAAAACGACTCATTAAAGATCATTGAGATTTATTGTTATAAAAATCTTGTTCATCTTCCGCTCTACAGCCACGCCCACCACCATCTTTTCTGTCGGGAGCAAGTTTTAGAACGCTGCCAATAGCTTGATGCAATTCATTTAATTTGTACTTTCGCATGCTTTCTAAAATAACAAAAATTTAAAGATTAAATATTTTTAATTGATGATGTTCAATTTTTAAGCAAATTAGGCTTTTTACAAATTATTCATTAAATAACTTTAAATATATAGCTCATTGTCTACTAACAAGGAGCTAATAGGTTGCTTCACCATTTAACATGACAAATGCTTTTTTACTTTATACGAAATTAGGTCCATTTATTTAGTTACAATTTATACCAATATATTTATAATATAATTTATACCAATAAAACTATGAACAATTCATTTCAATTAAATAAACTCATTCCTTAAAAAAATGTTTTAGTAGAAAACAACCTACCCACAATGACACTGAATACTTTTGTTTTTATGAATGATTTTTTATTTTTTCCATTCATGTTGTAACATGCCATCAACTTGTTTGTCATGAGTCTAAAATAAAAAAAATAACTTTGTTTTGAAACAAATTTGACTTTACTGAAATGTACAACAGAATTTCAGTATGTCAGTTTACCAGTATTATTCTTCTCTAACAAACTTACTTAGAAAGTATGGCTTTGACATTTGCATGACACGAATTTCCACCAACCATTGTTAACCGTCTTTTCTAAAATCAAAATAATGTTATATCAATATATCTCTCTATATCTATCTATATACTCATATATCTATATACACAAGTGTATAGCCTGCAATGTTGTAAACATGGATGTAAAATTTAACAACAAAAAGAACCTTTTAAGTTAACCGTTGGGTATGCAAAAAAGTGTATTAATACATGTTTTACTTACTAAAGAAGACATTTTGCAACATCAGAAAGTTCATCATCAAAAACCTGAAACTCCTCTAAATTATCGAACTTCTTCACATGATATGAAGAATGTTCAGGTTCCTGTGTCGATATCTTGCACTGCTCCTCAAGAATTTGAGTGAGCAAATGAATTACTTTATATTGAAATTCTAAAAATTTGGAAGGTGTATTAATTATTTACAAAACATACATGAGCAATATTATAATGTAAAATGGTAAAATACCAGACTGAATTTGAAAATTAGTTTTAATTTACAATTTTTATGTATATAAAAAAATTCTTAGTAAAACTTGCTACACTTCATAGTAAAAACAAAACAATAAAAAATTAACAATAAATAAATTTACTAGCTTCAGGAAGAGGAAATTTAGATATCGAGGTTTTAGTAAATTGAGTTGCTTTTACTGGTGGCATTGTAACTTGTTTGGAGGAAGATGGTAGGTTTACTGAACTTGAAGTCATTTGTAGGAACTTACTTACAGGGATTTTAGAATATGTATTATCTGTAGATTTTACTACAGATGATACAAATTGTGATTGACAGGATTTAACAGCAGACGTTGAAAAGATAGAAGAAGTTTTGGAACCAGAAGATATTATTGCTGAACTCTTTGAAGTTTTGAAACCAAATGATTTTGAAACTGCTTGCTTAGAACGTGGCTCTGTAATAGCAAGAGGGGGACAACCAGGATTTGGCAAAGCAGAACAATGTGAAGATACATCGTAAGGGGATCGCGATCTAGCTCTAATAAACATGGGCTCTTCAGGACATACAGCTAAAATAAAATTAATCTATAGTATATATATATATAATATATATGAATCTCTAACTTGAAAAAGGGAACATGTCCACTTTTTCAAGTTATATATTATATATGATATTATTATTAAAATATAAAATATATATTATATATGATATATATATTGCCCATGGCACTTATCATACAATGAAAATTTTAAACACAAAACACAATTAGTGAAAGTAAGCTAAATCAATAAAAAACCAATAGCAAAAAACACACGTATTTTATGTATTGTTCTATATTTAATTCCTTTCTCATTTTCAAAGGTCAAATCACAAGATTTGTCTATTTGCTTATTAAAATACGCTTCCGAATCGTCACTAGTGAAGTCAAATCCTTCACACACTGTTTTATCATCTAAATATTTTAATACTGCATGTGTCATTATTAATAAATAATTAAAGTAAACGTCTAAGCCTTTTACAAACAGTTACTATTTTAAACTGCCAATCAGTTAATTAGTAAAAAAGTATTTAAATACTTACTATGACGACATTTTTCCTTAAGGAGTGGAAAGGAAAACCAATCATTATGTGGTATTGCCTGCTGTTTACATGCTTTTAAAATATTGATACCATTGGGCCACCTCACAAACTGTTTTTCATTTACTGCTCCTTCAATCCAAACTGACGGGATTGTCAGCTCTTCTTCTATTGATCCCTCCAACCATACTGCTCGGCACCAAGACATTTTAACTTTAAAGCAATAATAACTAAAGTTCAAAATATATATTAAAAGTAGCAATAAGTTATAATATTTATATTTGTGTGAATATATTTAAATACCCTCAACAAAGTGCTTCCTTACATATGCAATGAAAATAAAAATTTAACTTTTATTGATATAGAAATAAAAAATGATCACGAATTGAAATACAATTTTATAAAATTGTAATTGTTTAAATACAATAACACAGTTAAATAAATAATTTATTTAGATGAACACAGTTTAAATACTTTGCACAATATTTTCAAATACCTTGTATTTAAAGTATTAAAAGTTGGACATTAGTTAAGCATATGAAACATATAAACCCCTTGAGTGTTAACTATTTATTAAGGAAGCTAATATATATATATATATATATATATATATATATATATATATATATATATATATATATATATATATATATATATATATATATATATATATATATATATATATATATATATATATATATATATATATACTCAAAGCAACATTAAATTTTTAAATAATTTTTTTTTAAATTATAATATATGTATATATAAACAATAAAAAGTGTGGAAAATAAATGCAGCAAAATAAACTCTCAGAAAAATTATTTTTTCGATTTCTCATCATTATGCAGTAATGGAAATATTGATAACCCTTATTTTTCTTCCAAACAAACACACTTTCTTTGAAAATCAGCAATTCTTAGAGTTTTCTCCACAACCTTATTAAAATTTATAGTTCGAAATAATAAAATACCAAATTTCATAGATGGAGCTGGAGAGTCAAATACATTTTCTAAATACATAGAACCGATAACATTACATTGAAGTGTACCATCGCTATTATTAGCTATAACAAATGCAATAGAAGAGTTGAGAAGCAAAAAACACCTATCTTTTCTGTTAGCAGAGATTTTACTTTCTAAATTTTTCTTAGGTAACCCTCCTAAAAAATTTTGATACTCATGTTGCCGTTTTGAAACTTGAGAGATTGGATTAGATGAATTACGTATAATCTTTTTTATTCTTTGAAGAAAGTTTTCAAAAGGAAAGCAGAATATTCTGTTAAGAGAACATGAATTAGTTCGACAATCATCAACTAGGTGCAAAAGGTTATGGACATTGTAAACTGTGAATGTGTTACCATATATATACTTGGCTTGATGCACAAAATACTTTAATAAATTACATGCATAATCTAAATACGGAACACGTACACTATCATCATCTTGTAACAATATTGTCATGGCAAGACTTAGGGTTAAAAAATGTTCATACAACTCCTTTGAGACAATACCTCTTAATGCAACCGAGCCAGTATATAACAAAAATTGTCTGAACTCGGTGGCTTTCCACCTATCTAATTCCTTTAAACTTCGAGGTTGTCGTGCAAACTCACTAGGCATACATCCAGTAAAAGAAGTCAATACTTGAGATATCTCTGAAATTTGAGCAGCAGATATTTTTCCACCAGGACCTTTTTTCAGATAATTTAAAATACGGCGCATTACACCTAAGCATACTAGATGCATGTAGTCTAGTGTAAAAGAGTAAATACAATCAATACCGATTCCAATTAAAGGAGACCTATCATGCTGATGACCATCACAGTAGCCAAACTGCTCAAAATTATCGTTATATCTTAATTGAAAGATTCTTTCATGATTAAAAACAACTCTTCCTTCGTGTGTTCCTTGGATAGTACACCTTTCACAGGAATCATAACATGTATGATATTTTATGCACTTTAGAAAGGCCCTAGATGGTGCATCACGCATGAACAACTGAATCTCTATGCTTAGGTGGCGTCCATTAAACAAAATGCCATTCTGTCTTAAATGAATCCATTCATTGACAAAACCTAATAAACAGTCATTAACATTGTCGGGTTTATGATCTCCACAAAAGATAGCAATGATAAAAATGTCAGAATTATCAAAACATGCAAGTATTAGCCACATGCACACACTTGATGACTTAAAAAGTGGAATTCCGTCTATATTTATTGATAGTTTGATGATATTATCGTCAAATTTTTTTTTACTGAGGACACTTTCGATTCCTTTACATATTCCATAATATGCATAGTCACCGCCACATTTTCTGTTTTTATTTTTCTTGGAGTTTTTAAGAGAGTTCGTGCATCTTTAGGAAGAGAAGAATCATTTTTGCGAAGGATAGATAAAAGTTCGTTAACAGAAGAACGAGTCCAACAATTTCTAACTGCACATTGTGCCAGTTTTTTATTTAATAGTGGAATTTCAACCTCATCATCATAATCACTACTACTGTAAAGATCTGGAATTTCGCCTTCAGATTCACTACTGGATAATAATCATCGGTGAGGTATTCATCAGATAAAAATGTTAAAGATTCCGACGTTTCATCGTTATTATTAACTGCAAAATCAACAACATCATTTTCTTTTACAATAGTTTCATCTTCACTAGATGAATCTAAAAGAGTCTTTACTTTTTTATTAATTCTTTTCCATTTTCTTACATTTGACGCTGTTTTTAAAACATATACCTACCGTATATTAACTTTAAGCCACGCTTTTGAAATATTACCAAAAATATGATTATAGTTGATAATAACGACAAATTTTATTTAGTATACGGCTTATCTAATAAAAAAATATTTAGTATAGTTGCTATTTAAACACATTTTATTTAAAGGTTCAGTTTTGGTTCACAGATGGACGGACGGGTTCTGTACGTACATTGTACATTCAATGAACGTACTATTTAGGTACAAATTCTTAAAATTACGTATGAAAGTTCAGTTTTGGTTCACGGACGGACGGACGCGTTTTGTACGTACATTAAACGTACAATAAACGTACTGTGCCCGCTGGGATGTGACTGCCATATAGGACAACTTTGACACGTAGTTTACTTGAGGACCATAGAGACATATTTCTCCCATCTTATATCCACTTGTAATTGTAATGGAACAATTTTTTTTCTTTAGTTTAATAATTAAAATCATTGTAATGTTAGAAATGCATTACTTTTACTAAAACTATTTTTTTAATGCCTACGGTCTTCAAAAGGTTAAAAGAAGTTAAAAACTTTTATAAAATTTGTTATGAATATATCGAAGAATGGATAATGAACTTTAGAACATTGAATTGTTTTAAATGGACCTTTATAAATAGTAAAAATGAATGGAAGGAAGTTTCTTAAACAGTCGAACTTGTAATGAAGGAACTAAAAGATATTGTTATTGTATGAGGGTATGAACACCAACAAAATACAATATATATCTATTGATATAGATATAGTTTTTTCTCGTTATATATTATACATTAAGAAGCGAGCAATGACTTTATCTAGCAACTACAAGCGTGCAACTTAACTATTTTTACAGATTGCATGGCGATCACGTGACACAAACAAGAGCAACTATAAAACTAATAACACGCGATAGACATTGAGCGCTATCGCAACACTCCCTCCGACAGAGCCGTCTACACAAAGCAGAAATAGTCCGTCGTCCACAAATTGTATATTCAGTTTGTTTATTTGTTCTGTACCACATTCAATAGGGCATAGCTTCTTCACAGGTCTGTTAACTCGCTGACAGGTATTATTATGAATATATCTTTCTAATGCACTTCTAATCTCATTGTTTTTTGAATATTTGATGTCTTCAACTTTGCCAACCTTCCAAAGTATACGTGATTTAGAGAAATCGTCAATTAACACAACATTGCCCTTTTTAATTATAGCTAAACCTTTTACTTTGGAAGATTTATGATGTTCGCTCAGATTCCTTAAGTATTCGTCTTTCCATCTTGATTGGAAATGCGTTAACAACATGTAAAGATGCATATTACGTTGATTTGTATCTATATTATAATCATTTGATGATGATTCAGGTATGACTTCCAAATTCAACTTTCTCCCAAAAACTATATGATTTGGTTTTACCACTCTATCTTCTGGCTCTTCATAACTGAACGTTAAAGGTCTATTGTTAATAACACATTCTACTTTAAGAAGTACGGTTAACAACTCTTCTTATTTTATTTTCGAATTAGATAATATCTTTTTTAAACAGCGTTATGTAGACCTAACGATTCTTTCAAATATTCCGCCCTACCAGGGAGCCGCTGCTACATTAAATTGCCCTTTGATTGCCATAGATGCAACGCATGCTTGTGTTTCTTTGGATGTAAACTGTGGCACCCCTCGCCGCGCAAGATATCTTCTATGTCCACGAATGGCATTTGCTGCAGAGCAATCAGGAACTAAATCTAAAATAAGAGAACGAGAACTACAACATGTGAACAAAAATATCCATACTTTACTATTAACAGTTGAATTATCTAAAGCTTTTACATACAAGGGACCAGCATAGTCCACCCCAGTGTATTTAAAAGCGTAGTCATAATTTAGCCTACTTACTGGTAATGGTGGAGACGGAGGGTAAAAATATGGTTTTCTATCAAACTTTTAACAAATAAAACATTTTTTAATAATACTATTTACTATGTCTTTACGTATCCAGTTAGTTAATGTTATACAAAATATAAAGCTGTTTGGTGTATGTCTTATTAATGATAGGAGAAAAGGCAAAAGACAAAAAATACAAAAAGACCGACTAAGAATACAGAAAGGTAAAACTAACCCATCGTTATGGTAAGTAAGTTTTACATTTTATCTTGTCAAACATGCATTACAAACACAATACAAAAGCGTTTAAAAATGAGTATGAAAACGAAACCTGCTGATTATCAAACCTGTATTTGAAACTCTTAAATTATGCATAAAACACAGTAATTAGATGTTATTTAATACAGAGTTTTCTTGGTATTAAACGCGCATTTAAAAATTTCTAGATTACGTGCTATTCAAAAATTTATGTATATAGGTTTCAGGATCTATAGGCTGTTTATTAAAAACAATGCTGCTCCTTATCTTGTAATATGGGTTAACATTTGAGCTAAGTTCAGCCTCATTTCTAATCTTTGCTTTATCATTTGAA